CAATTTTGCAACTCCATACATCTTAAGTAACATATTTTAAAGCCAAAATATCATGCGTGATAAATATTATTCGTATTTTTTTATTAATATAATTAATTGCAGATGATCAGTAAATTGATATAACTGATACAATAAGGAAATGGAGATAACGAACAGTATTCAACCTCAAAGTCCATTAAACAATATACAAAATAAGATCAGAGCAAACACGGACTTCCAAGGCATCAGAGGTTGGATCAGGTGCCATGGATGAGTGAGCCTCCCCTGCCGACCGGTCACACACGCCGTGTGCTCGTTATCATGATTAGGAAATAACAGAAAAAAATCGTCAATTCAGTGTATAAATAATGGACTAACAATTGGTATGAAAAACGTCAGTCAGCATTTGACTCAATGAAAAATTGTATTTGCTGACAAGGTCATTGTATCGACCATAGAACTTAAGAAATGATGACTTTAAACGAGACTGTTGATATTGTTGTTTCATCAATTTGCTTGTCAATAATTTACCTCCTTTAAGAAATTGTTCATGCGTAGAGCATGCTCTTGCATATCGAATCAGATGAGATATAAATACTCCATATGCAGGTGATGAAGGTATTTTGCTGCATAAGCAAGGAAAGTTACGATAGAAAAATTAAAGTTATCATGTTTATCATATAGCTTGGTTGTTAGATTACCATTAGTGTCTTTTTCTAGTAAAATATCCAAATAAGAAGCAGAAGTGTCGGACTCTGTGGTATCTTTTATCTCAATCTCACCAGGAAATAGCGTATGGAAATTACAACTGTTACTCGTATTTGAAAATAAGTCGTCGATATATCTAAATGTCGATTTGAAGACCATAGCAAGTGTTTTCTTCTTTTCATGCATCAGATTTTGCATAACTTCTGCTTCATATGAATACAAAAATAAGTCTGCTAATACCGGAGCTCAATTTGTACCCACGGGAATTCCAATACATTGTTGGAATACCTGGTCTCCAAAAACCATATAGATATTGTCAATCAGAAGCTCAAGCATCTTCTTGATGTCAGCTTCAGAGTACTTATGTGTGCAATCAGAATCTGTTTTAACAAAATTATTTTGCAAAATGACCAATGACGAGGTAAGTAAATTTTCGAGTTCCATTTTTATTGAAGAAACAGCTGTCAATTATATTAAAAAGCCTGTTTTGAATTGTTGTGTATAAAGTTAAAAAGTCGTAAGTCTTTAAGCTATTGATTTTTGTAAAGTCTTGTGATTTCAAATTGTCCAAAAGTTCTTAAGAATTTTTAAGTAACCACATCTGATTTAAACCACTTCTTGAATATAGTTGCACGTACTCTTGAAGTTTTTCCTTCACTACTGTCAATATTTTAGTGCGAAGTAACGAAATGGGCTTGGTTGAACATTTACTGGAACCTGCAATGTATCTTTGTTTGTAAGGATTCTTATGAAGTTTCGGAATCCAATATATATAAGGTAGTTTAAATTCATTTTGGCTCTGTGGAATATTAAAAGAATTCAAAACTGTTAGGTGATTTTGAAGAATTTCTTCTTTAGAAAGAGAAGTATGAGTTTAAGTAGGATTACCATCTGTAGAATTAAATCCAAGTTCTTCTAGAATGCAATTTATATAATGAGCCTTACAAACGAAGACAATATTGTTACCTGCTTTGTCAGCAGAAACAAGTACGTGATGATCGTGTAATATATCTAATTATTTTTTCACTACTGGTTTATTGAACACAGAAGAATAGATGGTTTTCAAGTAAGACTTTCTTAGAATATTAGTGAAGCAAATTAGATGCATATATTCTCAATGACATAAATATTCCATCATATGCATAACTTTATGACCGTAATTTCATTTTATATTGTATATCATCATGATCTTAGACCAAAAACGTGCAATATCAATCTGAACAGCATATAAGGAAAAATATCTTTGAAATACATATTTTACTCTTGATGTTGTTCAGATTAAAGTAAATTATACAGATTATTATTTACATTTTACAGATTAAAGTGTACAATTTACAGTTAAAGTGTTAATGTTTCAGATTAAAGAGTAAATTTTACAGATTCAAGTGTAAAATTTACAGATTATTGTGTAAATTTTACAGATTAAAGTGTGATATTTACAGATTAAGTGTAAATTTTACGGATCAAAGTGTTAATTTTAAAGATGAAAGTGCAGAAATTAAAAAAAAAAAATTGTCCAAGTGGAACCAATACGTTTCCGTATCGATACAATGACCATGTCAGCAAATACAATTTATCATTGAGTGAAATGTGTAATGACTTTTTTCATATTCATTGTTAGCCTATTTTCTATAATCAGAATTGACAAAGGAATTCTCCGTTCTTCCGCAATCATGAAATGGAGCACACGGCAGGTATGACCGATTTGCAGGGAATGCTTACTCCTCCATGACATCTAATCTCATCTCTGAGGTTTCGGAGGTCCGTGTTCGCTCTCCTATTATTTTGTATTGTTTATGGGTATTGAATATTGTTCGTATTAACATATCCTTTATTTCTTCCAAAGAAATTAAACCGTAATTCTGAGTTTTAATATTTCTTAAATTGCAAAACAATGATTAATTTTAAAGATTTGAAACTAATATGTGAATATAAAGAAGAGGTTTTCCTTTGATAGTAAAAATGTAAGAATTGAGAGAAAAAAATTTAATTTGAAATTTATATAGAAAATCCTTTAATATGTTTTCTTTAGTCGGGCTGAATCGGTACAAAAATGTTAAAACAGGATTTAGAGGGATTAAGTCATAAGATATTCTATCTGAATTGCAAATAAGTGTAAATTGAATTAAGGGGAGACAGGGCACATGTCACATGACTAAAATGACATATTACGTCATAAGCGGTGATTATATACATTTTAAACGTTGTTATAATCAGCAGTTCGTGTGTAATTTTATTCTAAATTCTAAAAAAAAATTTAAACATTTAATTATAGAAATTATTATAAATATAAATTTTAAAGATCTTGCCATCATTTAGATATTGTGAAGTTGCCTAATCCACACATTTCTTTCTCTTTACCCTGCAGCCTGACGTCAGTGACGTCATAGACGTAGTGTTTGAATTCTCAGTGCAGCGAGATCAAGTACACACAACCATCATAATCAGTTTCATTTCATAATAAACAGGACACAGTCAATGTATCGTGATAAATTTCCGAAGCAGATTTTTTCAAATTAATATTTTTTTTGTGTTTAGTAGCAGAGATTCTCTCTATTTAGATAATTTTGAATGTTTACGTTTTCGTGTGACGTCACAGTTTATTTCCCGCACTCGGAAAATACAAACATGAAGCGTTTTATCATGCTTACGTCTAATTCAACGATGTCCTTTGCGATATTGGGTTACGCTTCACCCTGTGATATTTATGTAGTAAATAATTACGATGAAGGACTGACATTCAATAGTAAATTTAGAAATATTTATTGACAGAATTTTATCCAAATGAGGTTTTCGTCGTTGAAGCTGCCTTGAAAAATGCAGAAATTATCCCACCCAAATACTATATAAGATTAAAACAATTGCTTTCAGATTACTTACACTATGAATATTCTGAAATATTTGAGCATATAGTGTTATCTATCATAATTATCGTTTGTGCTTAAAAATTCGCATTATGGACTCCGTTATGGGCCCGTAAACATGAAGTATCTAAACTCCATACAAACTCTAAACAGGGCGGTAATTGTGGGGCGATATTTTCAAAATAAGTCAAGAAATCCCATGACAGGACCGCTTTAAAATGTTAAGTACATATCAAATTAGTAATATAAAAAATACGAAAAAAAATTCATTGACAGGAATTTTTTCAGCTAAAGGTCCTGTTCCTCCTTAAAAAGTATTCACATTATTTCTGCGCCTCCATTTACTTTGAATACCTGCGATACAGAAGGAATCTTCGTCAATTTCAATTTTGAAACATGCTAAGTGTAAATTGTCACATTCCTTATATTTTAAGATCCGCCATTTATGAGTATAGTAATATGGCAGTGGGGTGGCTGGGACCTGCAAGGGAGATCATGTCTATCAAACGATTTTAAAGGTGTCTTTATAAAGTATTAGATAATTAAACTGCATACACTGAGCATAGAAGTGGTATTTTATGTATTTTTTAGTTCTTAAATGAAATAGAAACATTTTTTCTCCATGTACTTTCGTTTCAATTTTTTTATTGTCAGTCAAAAAAGGAAGTTGACAGCACGGCGGACAACATTTTGTTGAAAGGTAAAAACTTTCTCATATTAATTACAACTATATATTTCTCCAGATTTAAATTTATTATATAGTATGAGAACAATTTGTCTATAAAAAGCTATTACCATTGATTAACTGATTCTTTTTTTGTGTTAGTAAACAGGTAAATGTATGTCGAATTGAAGGAAGTCATTTACATATAAGCAGCATATTTATCTCATGATGTGGTGAATATAAAGGATATTATCATTTCCACTATATTATAAGTGTAATACATGAATGAAATGAAAAATTTATTAGTAAAAAAATCTGTAAGGAAACTTGTAAGAATTTGATAGTGTTTTATGGTCCCCTATATTTATGTGTGTTCTTTGTGTTTTTTTCTACTTTCAATTTCACATTTATACCCTCTAGCCCATAACAAGCTGTGCGTCACATCTCCGTTCAGGTATTGTTGTATAGTTATTTATATTTTTTGCATAATGTAACATTTTATGAAATATTCTTTTCTTTAAATGTTAACTTTTATGGAATATAACAGTTAACATAAAATTGTTAAGACAAAATCATAAAAAACAAATTAAAGGTAGAGCGAAAAGACTAATCATGAATAATGGCGACTTCCAGAGGCCTGTTCAGCAGAGCGAACGTTCGCGAGTGCTCGCCAAGTTTACTTTTGGACGTATAAGGAATTTTGGCGAGCGCTCGCAAACGTTCGCTCTGCTGAACAGGCCTCTGGATTAACATTGAAGTGTGGAAATAATAAACACTGTGTTTGCAGATTAAATATCCAATGGCAACAGCTTCAACATTTGCCCAGCACTTTATCGAGTGTGAAAACTGCGAGGAAAATCCAGCACAATATTTTTGCAAAACATGTCCGGGACATCTCTGCGAGGAATGTAAGACAGATCATGCAAAAAAGAAAATATCCCAAAACCATGACATTTTTCACTTGACCTCAGAAAAGGGGGAGGGAATGGAACTTCTTTATTGCTCTGAACACACAACAAAAAAGCTTGATTGCTATTGCTCTCCCTGCCAAATGCCAATCTGTATTAAATGCCTGATGGAAACTCATAATGGGCATACAGTAGAAAATCTGGCCACGGTGTACGACATAATAAAAGGGGGACTAGAGAAAGAGAGGGAAAAGATAGATACATTTCTTTTGCCAAAATACAAAGAAATGTTGTCAAACGAAAACGCCAAGCAAGCGGAGATATTAAAGAGAACTGCAGAGGTACAGAAACAAATAGAAGACCACACAGGGAAAATTATCGAAGAAATTGAAATGCTCAAAGAACTTAGAGTAGTTGATCTTCAAACAAAAGGACAAAGGACATTGAAGCTAGTTGAGAATTCGAAACAGGACCTCGAAAAAAGAATAGAAAGCCTAGAGAACATCAAAACTACGATAAATAACAACTTGGGTGCAAATCCAGGAATTACATTTTTTCAACCCTTAGACACAAACAAAATAAAAGAATTAAGAACATTTCCAAGAAATGTCGAATACAGTCTTTGTAATTTTAATGCAGGAAACATAAATACAATAGTCCAGGAACGACATTTTGGGGATTGGCCGGATTTTTCTGCTGCGCAACAAATAGTAAAAAGTGTATTTGACACCGATTCAGATGATGAGTATGATTTAATACAATGAAATTATAAAGAGATCATATTAAAGAGCCAAAAAGAATTCAAAGCTTACATAAATATATTTCCAAAATTTTAATTGTCAAAGTTACAGAAATGTACTTTTCGATTGCATATTCAAAATTTCCCTGTAAAAATATTAGTAATTTTGCAATTATTTAAGTAAAAACATTTAAGGTTTCTGTGGTTTTTTTTTTTTTTCAGAGACATGGTAGTCTGGAGTCCACCTTCGTATTTATTCAAATCATAGATTTCTGTTAAAATCACTTGAGGATAATGTCGAAAGAATCGAAGGTCTCGATTATTCCTAATCCTTGTGCTGACCAAGTATGTTCATCAACTCTACAAAATTGTGTGCATAACTTTTGTTTTTACAATAAATCACTAGGACATAATCATGGGCAATGTAAATTTTACTTAATTATTTTTAAAATAAAATCTTATAAGAATCTATTAGCTAGTTGTAACTTTTAATCGGTTTATTCTACCTATACCCACTTTTTGAAAATCTGATAGGAAAAGGAAATATTAATTGTGAGAATAGGTAGGATTTTTGTAAAAACAAATACTTAACTATGAAACATATAATAACTGTATACACAATTATGCCAAAGTTTGAAATGTAGGTCAAAGGTAGAGGATAAAGGATCAAAGGACTTTATCAAATGAAAGGGCTTGTCACAAGGATCAAATATTTAAAGTATTATTGCACTAGCCCTAACCCTTTAAAAGTTATGGTCAAGGTTTGCTTTTTAAAAGTAAGTCAAACTCCAGGGTTAAGGTTAAAGGATCAATAATCTTGGTATTCAATGCAGAGTCTTTTCACAATGAATACATATGTAAATTTTCAAAGCATCAGTCCTTACCGTTCAAAAGTATTGGCCAAGGTTCAGGATTTTGCATAAGTGGTCAACGATATGTACATAAAAACAGTATTCAATATCAAAGTCCATAAAACAATAAAAAATAGGAGCAGAGCAAATACGGACCTAATAAAAATCAGAGGTGGGATCAGGTGCCAAGGAGGAGTGAGCATCCCTTGCTGACCCGTCACGCCTGCCGTGCCCTCCTTGTCATGATCGTGAAATAATGGAAAAATCTGTCGTCAATTCAGTGTATAATAAACAGACAAACACTTAGTATGAAAAAGGTCAGTCAGCATCTGACTCAATGATAAATTGTACTTATCTATTTATTTATGAGATAACAAACATTATTCAAAATGTATCGCATATTAAGTCATAGCGTAAGGCGTAATTGTTTTATTATTGTTTAAGAATATTTATTAATTACCGTATAACTGGTTTTTAATGCGGGTGCAAATTTTTGCGATTTGATCCTGAAATAGGTATATTTATTTTTTGCGATTTCACTTTGACAATAAAGTCTTTTATTCTCTCGAACCAAAACCTGGGTCCCGTTACACATATTTCATTGAATTTCACTCTCTATTCCAAGTTTTGATTGCGCTTGTATACACGCCAATCAAGCGTAAAATTGATGCAGTCTGGACTTACCTGGAAACAGTGAAGGCCTTGGGCTGTTAATTGGAAGGTTTACATAGAAGACACTACACCTGTGGGTAGTCCGTGTGTTTTTATAATTAATGGTTTATTATTCACAGGGTAAATTAGAAACAAAGTCCCAATTATTTTGAATTGAAACCGAGACGATAATTCTTTGAAATTAATTTATAGAAGTTCGTTTCAGTAGGTTCCCATAGAGTATGAACTTTCATTTATGATTATAAAGAGTTTATCTAATCCTAGTAGGGAAAATATTACACAAGAAATTCTTTTTTCTCAAGGACAGAATACCGATTAAGAAAAATCTGGTAAACACTGGTGAAGGACCCGATCAAGCCGCGGAATAGCCAAACCGACAATTGCTATTCGGGTTTCATATAAATAAGTCATGAAAAACAATGTAGGAACAAATAAATATTGAATCTTTAGGAATTCGTTTCATTTATTCGAAAAACAATCGTTGTTGTTGACATCAAGTAAATTACCTGTAAAATACGTGCAATGGCATTATTTACATATACTTCCGGTATCTGTAAAAGTCGAACTTCGATGATCGCAACTGAAAATTCCGGATTTTATTTACTTATTTTTTTGCGATTCAATTTTTTGCGATTAAGACTTGACCGCAGAATTTCGCAAAAAATAGCACCCCGTAGAAAAATCCAGTTATACGGTATTATTTTTATTGTTCATGGAAGAATGATTTTGAATACAAATGTAATATACCTACAGGTATGTGTCAAAGTTAATTCAAATTATTTTTCTGTGAATTTTTTTTACCAGATTAATTATAAATGATAATTATAGAATGCACTTTACAATATATTTATATACGAGGGATGATCAAAAAGTTCGCGAACTATATTAAAGTTTGCTCCTTGTTTGTGACGTCACAATGTAAAAATAAGGTCAATATGTAGGTTCACTTGTGACGTAAAATTGCTTTCTCAGTCGTTCTCGTTCAACAAACGACTGTACAATTTATTGTATATCTTAGAAATCCCTTTACCTTAGCATATAATAATTTTTACACAGTTTATTAAGACAATTGACTTTGTATTAGTGAAGAAAGGAGCTGTCTCGTCATTGATTACATTTGCTAGCTATTCAATTGGGAAAAAATGGTCATTGAAATGTAATAATACAAAGGTGAAAATGAGGAAGAAGGGGCATCTTCATTGTAAAACAACATATTGTATCAATTCATATTAATTCTTAAATGAAAAGGAAAATACAATATACTTATATATAACCATAAACCATCCATTGCCTAAGACTGGAATTACTAGGATAGTTTTGTTTTGATCCAGTAAAGTGGAAATGAAAGGTTGGAAATTGCAACATGTAATCCAAGAAATGTCAAGAATGTTTTGTAATCATTTATAAATGAATATATTTTGGGTTTTAATAATTAAAGCAAAAAGAAATAGTCAAATCTCATTTTCTTAAACTTTTGGGATTAGGAAAAGCTTTCAGTCGAGATATTGGATATTTGAGATGTAGGTAGACATGACCTTCCAGATCAGTTAAGGTTTCTTAAGATAACAGTGTTGGAAGTTAACTTATAGGACATGCAAAAGAATGTATGTTGCAAATAAAATGTATGGTCTTATTTCAACTGTTTGGTTATATTTACACACAAGAGGTGACACAATTAGGCAAGTTCCTTAAATCCCTAACAATGTATCAATTAATTTTCGGATGAGTTCTCACAGAAAGTTTATATATTTTTGGATTTTTATTCAGATTGCTCAACATTGAACGTGCATTTGACTTCATTTTTAAGATGTTCGGGATATTAAAGTTCCTCACAGGGTATTTATATTTTGTAACTCTGTTCTTATTATGCAGACTTTAAAACTTAGGACAGCGCATTGTCCCTTGGTCTTGCATTTAAAACGAATTTCACTTTGTATATGTTTTTAATCAAAACACTATTAGGAAGGATCAAGCATATATTGATAGCAGTACATGTAATACGTGTATTCAGGCTCATTGCATATAATAATAAATAAATGAATAAAAAAATACTTTCATTTAATTAATAATCAAACATCTATACCTTAAACAATTTTAGACTTTGCTTTGCATTTTGGGCTACACAGTGGAAGAATGTGGTCATATAGAGCTGTAGAGCTCAGATGCACATACATGTATCGCAGGCATTAATAATATTTATTGAAAGAATCTATGTAAGAGGGAAGGGACTTAGTCAATTATCACATAAATAAGATTAGTAAAGTACACGAGTATTGCAGGGATGGGTAATGAAATTCTAGTTTGAAAATGGCATCTAAAAAGTGCCAAACATCTTCCTGGTAGCTTAACTGGTAAGTATGATATACAAATTGGAATACTAGTAAATCTGTTACATGTATCAGGTAATGTATCTTTTCTAGGAATATCATTAAACAAGACCAGTATGCTTCCAAAATGATAGTATTGTCTTTTATAGGCATTTGTAACCATCTCTAAATAGTGTTGTACCTTATTGTAATTGAATATGATTAAGAATTTCAAATTGTTCTGCTTAAATTGGCTAATGAGAGAGTGAATGTGTCGCCTTCGGAGATATAGAATTTGTTTTTTTTTTCAAACAGCAGGACATGGCTTTCTTAGCAATTTTTAAACAGGAATTATGATATAGGTAGTCCTCTTGAGTGAAACTCCCCCTATATGGTTTTAAAAAACCCCAGATCTTTAATTTTGATTAACTACAACCATTTACATCTAACTTGCCTTGAATAATGGCAAAACGAAAAACAATGGTGGTAAAGAGCATTGCAAGGTTGCTCAGACATTTCAGAAGGAATTAATAGATAGGTAAGTTTCTACAAGACAAAGCTTTATTAGGCATTGAGGAATTAAGTGAGATACATCAAATTTGGTAAGATTTGATTGCCTTATGTGTCGTTAAACCTTTTCTAAATTAAGGGAAATTCAAAATACTTTATTCAAAGTCTTCTTAAGGATATGCACATCTAGGAATCAAGATGTGTGCAAGTATCTAGCTGGGAAGGGGGGTCTTGGCTTGGCAGTATTGGTCGTGGAGCGGTTAACTTGCTTTCCGTCCCCCAATGTGTGGGGTGACTGCAAGCTGTGCCAACTTGCAGCCATGTGGCGTCTGCGCACACCAAGTCTTCTGATACTGTAAATCACTTTTTATTCGTGAGAACTTTATTTGTGCGTAATTACGCAAGACAATGCGCTCGCAAAAATTTAATTCTCGCGTATATACGTATTCCATACGATTATATACATGTAGATGAATAACAACAATTCGTGAAAATTATGTCCCTCTTACAAAGAGTCAATGACAATCTCGCAAAAAAAGGTGTCGCAAACATTTAGTGATCTACAGTAACTGAATGTTTGTGTGAATAAACTGTCACCTTGTTGAAATGCTAATGCTTGTGTAAACTAAGCAAATAAGCTTACTCTTGGTGATTGTAATATATACTTAAAAACTGTACTACATCGT